AATAGAACAAATCTTAACTTTACAACTATAAAATGAAAAGTTTATGTAAAGATTAAACTTTATCAATACAGATGCTTGTTTATTCACATCTGGATAAATCCATTAATAAGTTAACAATATTGAAATTTAAATTTTCATTTTAGGAGATGGGGAGGATCTGGGAGGAGTTGGGAGAGGGGAGAGCATAATCAGATATACTTTATGAAAGAAATCTATAATTAAAAATAATTTCATTCTCACACTTAACTTACTAAATGCTACTACAGGTTATCCTGACCTGCCCAGAACATTTACACTGGACTGTGATTGGACAAAGCCTATTTAATGACAAAGTGATGAGTAGTTAATGTGATTTAGTGAATTTTTACATCTAGGAGAACAGTGATAATGCATAATAGCCAGGCATCTGCATCCACAGACCAAATCAATCTTGGATTAGAAAGATGTTTTTAATGCTAAACCTATACACACCTCTTGTCATGTTCCTCAAATATATAACTATTTACACTGTATTAGATAGCATAGGTAATCTAAAGATGTTTTATACAGTACTATACAGAAGAATACATATATATATGTATATATATATATATATATATATATATATATGCTAGATATACATACTATACCATTTTATATAAAGTACTTACTTGACCATTCATGGCTTTTTCTATCTTCAAGGGTGTGAACTAGCCTAAAACCAACCCCCAAATGATACTCAGAAAAAAGCATACACTGAAAAATATCTGTTGTTTCCTCTCCTATCCTTGTGGCTTCTTCAGGGCTCTGTGGCTCACTTTGAGACTCAGTGCTAGTCAGGAATATACCAAAATTTAAAATTGAGAACCACAGTTTTCCCTGGAAGCATAATACTTTCACATCATCATAAACTGTAAAATGTGTAAGTCAAACTACTGTCACTCAAGGACTGTTTATTGAGTTGTAATGTCTCCTGGGTGTTTCACCTTCCCCATCCCTCTCCATTGACAGTCCTCTCCTTTCAGCAATTGTATTAATATTTATTGACAGTCCCTCATTTCACCAATTGTATTACTAATAATTAGTTTCCTCTTTGCTGTGATCTAGTACCTGGAAATTGCAGCTTCAAGGAAGAAGGGCTTAGTCAGTTTATAGTTTGAAGGGATAGTCCACATATTGGTTTGAATGAGAACAGCCCCCATAGGGTCATAGATTTGAATACTTGGTCACCAGGGAATGGCACGATTTGAAAAAATTGGGAGGTGTGGCCCTGTTAAAGGAGGTGTATCAAGGTGGGATGGGCTTTGAGGTTTTCAAAAAGCCCTTTCCAAACCCAAAGTCTCTCTCTTCCTACTACCTGTGGATGCAGATATGGAATTCTCAGCTACTTCTCCAAGAACATGTCTGCCTGCATGCTTCCATATTCCCCTCCATGATGATGATGGACTAAGCCTCTGAAACTTGAAACAAACTCCAATTCAGTGTTTTCTTTTATAAGAGTTGATGTGGATGGAAGTGTCTGCAGTTTAGCCCCAAAGAAACACACAAGTTGATGTGGCCATGGTGTCTCATCATAACAGTAGAACCCTGACTAAGACATCAACCATGGTATCAGTGGATCATGAGGTGGCATGATCATGAGGCAGCTTGTTGCATGGCATCCACGGTAAAGAATCAAGCAGACATGGCTCCAGGGCTCAGCTTCCTTGCTGCTTTTTATTCAGTCTAATATCCCAGCCACTTAAAGGGTAGCACCAACATTTATGTTAAGGTCTTCTTGCACCAGTTAACATTATCTAAAAACTCCCTCACAGACATGCAGAGGATCGTCTACATGATTCTAGGTCCTGTCAAACTGGCATTCAATATCAATAATCATGGCAATGTGTCCTATCATATTGCTTTTGGGTTTTACTTCAAGTTCTGACTAGGAATAGAATGAGGGAACACTACCTTCTGGTTTTTCAGTCTCAACTCAGTTCTCCTACTGCTTTCTTATGTAGGAAGCTTCGCTCATTAATGTTCTGTCTTTTTGTTCCTCCTCCTGCTATAATAATTTACAGCTGAAAGCTATGTAGAAGTAGCAGCTTAACTATTTATATTAAGATTTCTTACATTACCCAAAACTTTTTATAATTGTAATTCCCCCTTGATTTAAAGGAGTGTTAATATTTTGTTTTTGTTTTGATTTTCCCATACGGATATACGTGTGTTGAGGTAAAGGAGTTAATTACCTTACTATTGATTTCTAAGTGACTTAGCAATAGCATTCTTGACAAAGAAAGTTATTTGTTTTTACACTAATTTGCTTTGTGACAGTTCAGACTCAATATTTTTCAGCATTCCTTATTGACTTGGTAGGTTTTCCGGTCATTATGAATTCCCACTGTGTCAATGAAGGGTACTAATTTTTTATTCTCGTGTGTGTGTGTGTGTGTGTGTGTGTGTGTATGTGTGTGTGTGTGTGAGTCTTCCTACTAAGTTAAATTTTCTTATCATCTACATGAATTATTTTGCTAAAAGTTTTTAATGTGTCTAATTAAATTTACCCACAAGTATCTTTAATTTACCCTCATATTTGAATGGTAATTTTCTAGTCATACAATTCTAAATTGGCAATTACTTTTCTCTAATAGTTTTGAAGGTAATTTTCACAAACTTTTCTAATTTTTTTTTCCCTTGAAGATATTTTGTCTTTTTCTCTCTGTGTGCTTTAAATTTTTTTTCTCTTAGTAGGTCCACAGTTTTCATTCTTAGATTTCTGAATCTGAAGATTTATAGCTTTCACAAATTATGGGGCTTTTCCTGGGTACTATCTCATCGAAAATTGGCTGCTCTCTTTTTTCTGTTAACTTCTTTCTGGAATGCACATTAAGATAAAGGGAAAAGAATGATTAGGAGGGGGAGGGTTCAGGGGATTGAAGGAAGGGCTGAAGAGGGAGGGGGAGCAGGAGAGTGAAGGAGGTAAAAGAAAAGAGGAGGAGCTTTGCATTTATCCTCTGATACATGGCAGACCAGTTTGGTACCCATATACAAATTCCTTGGTTACCAATCTGGAAATGACAACTTCCCTGCCCCCCCCCAACCCTTCAAATTCTGGTTTGCACTCACCGATGCTCAGAATAACATCTGGGATTCAGTTACTTACTTTGGATTTTTGAGAAATTTTTGACACTTTTGTACAAGCACAGCCATATATGTTAAAATGATCCTTGTTATGATTTATTTAAGACTTCTGGAGAAAATGAAAGTTGATTTTAAAAAACTCCTTTAAATGTAAAATTACATAAAAATAGGTTCAAAAGTGAGAGTGTAAACTCCAGTGTGAACTGACATAGTTTCCGTTCCAAATAAATATCATCCACTAACTATCTAGAAGTTTGGGTCTGTTGTGTGAGTTGCTTTTTGTTTTTCATTTCCAAGTTTTTATAATAAGGTTTACAGTTGTTTTTTTAATCTTAATAACTTTGGACCACTTAAGACAGTCATGGAACTTTCAGAAAACAAGCCCATTATTGGTGTTGCAGAAGGAGAGTTGGTAGGAAGCAGAGGAGTTGGTTCCCTGGAGCAAAGCATCATGCCGGTACCCTCCCATGGTTCCTCATCACAGGGCAGGATCAGAGGATAACTTAACTCAAGCAAAGGCAGCTAAAAGGCCTGTGAGCCCTCACTGTAGCCACTTTAACCATGCATCACAGCCTGTGGGCAGAAGAGTAACCAGATACTGCAGCCTGGAGCATTTCACAGACATGTGTTGCTTTGCTCTCCTATCAGACACTAGTGTTCTAAAACCCATTCAGAGAGAGTTGTAATGTGCCAGGGACTGGGCTAGGTGACAACTCAGAAGACAGCCCCTGCCCTTGTGGAACTCTCATACTACAAGGGAAGAGACAATTATGTGAACAGGCAGACAAGAAAGAAGAATGTACAACATGCCAGAAGGACCATGAAGAAAATTTTAAGCAGTATAGGGGGCAAGGGGACATGTCAGGGGGATTGTCGTTTTACATAGAAAGGGCAAGGAAAACCTCGCTGAGACAGTGGATTTTTGAGAGAATGGGAGAAAAGGGGGGCAAGCCAGGAAGCTCCCTGTAGAAGTGACAGGATGATGTACCTGCAAATATTACTTAAAACATGCATTGCAAACTCTTACTATTAATTAAGCTTTTTATCAACGTTTGGGGGGGGAAGAGGTTAGAGGAGCTAGGGAACAGAGAGCAGGAAGCTGGTGTGGGGTTCTAAATGCCACTGTAAACAATTCAGATTTTTTTTCCCTGAGTGAGGAGAAGACCCTATGAGGGTTGTTTTGTAGCAAGAGTGAGACAGATATTTCAAACAAAAGAGATGTCAAAAATAAATAAGTAAATAAATAAATAAAAACTGGAGGTGGCTTCAGCAAAGAGAAGACTTCATGAGCAGGGAATACGATGACATGTTTTTCTATTGATGGTGGAATTCAGCAGAGGAGGGGACATGGAAGCATGAAATGCATGAAATGAGGGGGAAATCTGCCATACTGGTTTGCTAGAAGAGAGAGGAAACAGAGGAGTAGGGTTGGGAGGGGCTCTTCTTAGGCAGGATGCTGGACAGCACACAGGCCTGTGGTACCAGGAGGACTGCCAGGCAGGTGAGTTCACTGTAGTGAACACCTGAGAGCAGCAGGAGGCTGTCTCCTGATCCCCTGAGGAATGGGATACAAGATCAGAGGGCAAAGTGCTGGTAGCTGAAAAAGGGAAATAGAAGGGTCCTTTGACTGATAGGTAGTCCTTGGCTATGACCCTTGTTCATCTCTGCTACTCTGTGTTTCTTGAAATACAATGGGAAAAACCTTACCCACCTTAAATCGATCTCACCATACAAACAGAACCTGGACTAGCAGGTTTCTGAGAGGAAGGGAACAGTGTGAACCCCATGCATGTTGGCTGTTACCTGATACAACAATATTCATCAATAAATTCATCACACACTTGATTGCTTGTGATTGGGTAGATTGTGATGCTTTATACCCACTCTCTTTTCAGGAGGTTTGTACTCACCAAACTTCGTGTCATCCCACAAGGATCATTTTCCGGATTTAAGGACCTGGAGAAAATGTAGGTATATGATGACACTGTGAGACTGCTTCAGGTGGGCCATGAGCAGTTACCTTGGGTGGTGTCTAACATGATGTTCTATACATGTACTCATCCTTATCAAGGGCCATAGTCAGCATGGGTCAAACATATTTGAAAAGAAAATATTCTGGTGTGTGTGTGTGTGTGTGTGTGTGTGTGTGTATACAATTGTTGTTGTTATTCCATAACTGACACAATATTACAACTATTTATATAGGTTTGTATTGCATTAGACATTACAAGTAAGCTAGAGATGATTTGCACTGCATTATGCCTAAATATATGAGAAGATTATGAATGTTATATACAGACCCTAAAGTGCTGTATGTAAGTTCTGAGCACCTACAGGTGAGGTGGATAGGAAAACATCCTAGAACCTCTATTCCATGGGAAGGAGCACACTTAAAAATCGCCTGATGCACATAACATCTTGTGCATGCCTTGCCCTTTTTTCCTTTCCTTATCACACTTCCTACCAATGGGGTTTAGGAACAATGGCCAATTCTAGTGTAACAGCCACAGTAAGCATTTCATCACTCTTGTGAGTTTTCATAGAATGATTTACTTTCCGGAGCCCTTCGACTACAAATGTCATAAAATGCATCATATTTTCTGCTTGCAGCCTTTTTCTTTCAAAGATATGCCCTTACTAGCTCTGGTTAGCTTTGAATCAACAGCAAGGCCTAACATCTGTGTCCTCAGCTTTCTTCAGACCCCTTGTTCCAAGCAATAGTCATTGATATGCAAATGTTTGAACTTATTGAGAACATTTGCAGGGCTGGCTGAGAAGTCTCCTTTGCTACAGCAAACACTGCTTTTTTTTTTTTTATGTGGTTTAATTTAGAGTTTTTTCCAAATGGAATTTTCTCAAAGTGGGGTACAGCAGTACACCCAGAGTGAATCCTCTCACACCACAAGGAATATGACTTTTCTTTGAATGCCTTTGGCTCTCCTCCTAGGATTTTAGAAGGGAGACATGATCTCTACAGTGACACAGCCAGGTTACAGAACAAACATGTCAGTAAGTACAGTCATAGATGCACTGAGTATGCAGAAAAGGAAATAGTTTTATGGTGATAAGCTGGAAGCCACCCTCCAGCACATGCTTTCTCCTGGGAGCTATGGGATTTTCCCACTCAGTTCTTCCTCCTTGGATTAAGAATATTTCTTCTGATATCTAGAGAAGAGAGAAAGTGCTCTATTAACCAAAGGAACACAAAGCAGGGAGGGAAGCACCATGCTTCTGCAATTAAACCATCTGCTTTCAAGACAGTGGTCAGAGACTTGGTTGACGGCTAGCTTCCATATAAACTGACTATGTAACCTTGAAATTGCCTTTAAGGTCTTTGCTTCCTCATCTGTGTTTGAGAAAGAGACCTTCCTTGTCCTATTATAAAGTTCTGTTTTCCAATGTTTTCACCTGGTAAAGATATTCAACACAGGGCAGCCATGCGTCTGAACAGAGCCTTCCACAAACACCATGGAGTTGGAGAGAGTTGGGCTGTGGTATGCCCCTTGGTAGATTAGCCAATGCCCTGCCAATGATATGACATATGCTAGATGTCTGTATGATACTCTTGGATCTGGTAAACATCATCCTATTTGCATAGAGACAGAAATAGCAGATATCACAAATAATCCTCCATATAACATTTCATTTGGCAAATATGGCTGGCCCCTCAAAGGGCACTCACATCAGAGGAGACCATTATATGGTCAAAAAGTTAGCCAAAGCTGGCTGATAACAATAATACAAAGAAGGCAGCTGGTAATTCTGTATCTCCATACACAGCATATCTTTTCCTACCTCATGTTTTGATCAATTAGCTGAGCTGATTGCAGTGAGATATAAAGTGAAAACACAGTTAGCTTTTAACTCTTTTAACTCTGAAGGGACATCTATCCCACAGGCCTGGGCCCTCAGGAAACCACCTGCTCCTCATAGCCTCCAGGGTCACCCTCCTTCCATCAATCGCCTCACACCCTGTCTTTGCCACTGCTAAGTAATCATCTCCTTTCTATAGCCATTCTTTTTACCTGAGTTCTTTGTCCAGTGTTTAACCAATTCCTACATTTAATAAATAGTGATTTTATCTCTCATGTCTCCCTCTTCCTAAATCTCTTTAATTCATTCTGCATATGACCAAGTTTCAGTCCTATCCTTACATAAAGGAGAAAAAGGAAACACTTTCTCCCAGATGTCCCCTCCCCACCATGCATTTTCCTCTCCTTCCATCATGAATACCACTGAAAGAATGCTCTCCCCCATGCTCCCCCCAATCCTCACCACCCCTGCCTCCTGCCTCCCTCCCTTTCAGTCATCTCTTCACCTGTACCCACTTGTGATTTGGCTACGAATTCTTCAAAAGTGTCCAATTATTCTATCATAGGTCTCAAACAACAACTATAATTGCCAGATCTAATGACTTTGGGGGAGGGTAGGAGGAAAGTGATGACTGTAATAGGCTTCATTTAGTACCTGGCACATGGTGAAGTCCTCAATGAATGTTAACTGCAGTGATAATTATTGTGATGAGGATGCTAGTAAGAAACTCCTGCCAGGATAACTCCTGCTATCTTTTAAGTCTCAGTTCTTCTCCAGAAACCTTCCCCAACCACAAGGGCCACAAACATGGTGCTTCTTCTTCATGGCAGGACTAATTTTCTTTGTTTACCCAAATATCAGAGTCCCTACTACCCTACCTACCCCCATAGCACCTCACCATCAGCTTCGGATTGGTTTGTGGATCTTTTCTCCCTCATACTAAGCACCTATGGTCTTGGGAGACATTTCCAGCTCTACAGATGAGCTCCTAACTGAGGGGGCTGTCAGTTTGAAAGCTATGTCTCTTAGCTTCAAGGGCTGGTTCCCTAATCTGGGCAAGTCGTGGATCTTGAGGCTTTTATGGGATTGAGCAATGAAAAGGTCAGTTCTTTCTTCAGAAATAGAACTCCACAAAGAAGTGAAGCCAGGACAGTTGTCACCATCTATCCACTGGGGTGTTGATGAGACTAAAGCGCACATAGCAGAAGGGAAGCCTCAGAGAAGGCCCAATCCTAAGAACACCAGAACCTGAATAAAGCTGCTTCTGAATCTGCTCTTCCCCTCTGGCCATCAAGTTAAATGAACCATTAAATCCCCTTCTTTTCCTTAAGCCTGTTGAGAGTTTATTTTCTTCTGCCTCTCGCAACAGAAAAGTCTAAGAAATGTTCATATCACTGGTCTGGCACATAACTTCTTATGTATTTTTTTATCTGGGACTGTATTTCAATTTTAACCATATAATTACCTCTGTCAACATAGTCTCATGCCCATCTTCCTATCAACTACTTCATTGTTGACCATAGCCATTTACATTTTTTAGTATATTCTGATCATATTTAGAAGTCTTTTCTTGCCACCCTGTACTGACTATATGTGTTTACTGACTGTATTTGTTCACTCTTTTGGGTGGGGGGTTCTCAAGAGGGTTTCTCTTTGTAGCCCCGGCTGTCCTGAAACTCATTCTGTAGACCAGGCTACCTTGAACAAACAAAGATCCCTTGCCTCTGCCCCCTGAGTGCTGGGATTAAAGCTGTGAGACACCAACAACTGGCTATGTTTACTCATTTTTATGTCTGTGCTTATTAAATATCAATTGCACTTACCTGGCTCTTTGGGGCACCATGGACTCAATACCATGTAAAGACAAACAGATAATTGTGCTTGTGGAATTTATATTCTAACAATATTGTTAGCCATTAAATGTCATACATGTAAATGTAAAATGGCATGGTGACAGTCACTACAGAGACTAGTGATGGGAGAATATGTCAATGGAGTGTTTATGGTGGTAGTTCTTCCCTGCTGGAAAGGTTAAGGAGAGCCTTTCTGGGGAAATGACATTGGTATGGAAATCTGCAGGAGAAGAAGTGGCCACCTAAATAAAAGTGACAGCCTAGAAAGATTGTTCTACATCAGTCTCACAGTAAGCTCTATGACACAGAAGAATGTATGGATTGAAGGGTGGGGCAGTGCTGACAGAGCCAAGAAGAGCAACCAAAATGCTTACCTCTTGGAAGCAGGGCTGACTCCTGTGGTAAGGGAACATGTCAATATATGAAGATACTATTAAAGCAAAAGCATTGGGTGGGATAAAGGAGGAATGTATGTGTGCATAAGGGCAAGTGTGAGAGATAACACAAGCAGTTATTAACTCAGAAACTCTTGCTCTGGATGCTGTGCTGTGATGGGTGACAGAAAGCACTCAGTGGACAGGACCAATGTGGGAGAAAATTCCAAGTTGTTAAGAGCTGTGGTTTTTTCATCTTCCTTGTCTGTCTCTTGGGCCATATTTTTCACCACTACTGTGTAGATTAGGAAGCAGGTATACAGAGACCAGACTTTCTGCCCAAGGTAACAGTGAAGAAGGAGAGAAAAGGATACATCAAGGTAGAATGTGCTTTGTGCTCATGAACTTAACTAGATTGCCGAGAGTCTGAGATCACATACCTTCATTTCCTTCATCTCTTAGACCCACCCTGATGCTGTATAAGCATCTAAGTTTCCATCAGCTATAAAAGTATCAATGATACCTCCTCATTCATAATGTTGTTCAGCATCTTACACCTTCCATCTCTGTCTATGGAACACTGATGGGCTTGCATCGTCATCACTTCCCCCTTAAAATTACAAAAGGCCCATGTCCTTTCCCATCCAAAAAGAAAGGAAAATTGGGTATACACCCTAATTCTCACAGATGAGTCTTCCTGGTTCATTAACCCAGTTCTGTTTTTGTGAACAGTTATCAGGAGAGTCTTCTGGGGAAAACAGAAACTTCTCTTTTAAAGATGACAGAACCACAGTTCACACTCAAGCTAGCCTTCATCAGCATCCTTATCTCAGGCCGCCCAACTCTTCATTGCTTTGGGACTTGCTGGGAGAAAATGGAAATCATTAAACTCTCTGTGATGTGAAGTGGCTTTGCAAAGTGCACTGT